GTCAGTCTTCGTAAATCACCTGTTCACGGAAATGTCGCTGCTCGCGGGCGGAGCAGCTGGGACGGCACGCCTGGCCCCAGAGAACGGCCACGACGGGCCCGCCCGCACGGGGGTCTCGCTGTCCAGGGCCTCGGCCCCGCCCTCTCCTGTCTACAGTGCACCCCAGCCTCCGCGGTCAACGTCGTCATGGCGCCCCCACCTTCTCTGAACGAGAGTGAGGACCCCATCCGTGGCGCACCCCAGGACCCACCCCCTCGGGTACACGCTCAGCTGAGCTCTGACCTTGGCCAGGGCGTGCTCTGGCCAGCGGGGGAAAAGCACCCTGGGCTTGCGCAGAGGCTGGAACACACACACCTGCTGAGCCTGAACTCCAGACCTGGCGGTGATCGCCTGCCTGGCCCTAAGAGCCTGCCGACCCCCGGACTAGATACCGAGACCACTCTGGCCACTCAGCTGCCAGCGGCTGGAGCTGACCCCAGGGGCACGGAAGCAAGCCCAGACCCCGGGAACGGCTCAGACAACCTCGACCAGTGGAACAACTGCCTGGGGCGCCGCGTCCGGGCCACAGATGAGGCGGCTGCAGCCCAGAGACGGCCCCGTGGCAGAGCCTGTGCCGGCCGGCAAAACAGTAGCCAACGCCACTCCAGCAGGAGGGCCCTGTGCTGGCAGAGGCGGACACCGCCGTCCCCGTCACACGAAAGGGCTATTCCAACCGCTGATCCTGGTCTAATGACGTAACAGGTGCCACCTTTGCACGCTTGGAAATGTGCAAGTCATGTGACAGGATCACTGCACATCGAAGCAGCGTGCAGGACAACCTCCGGGGCCGAAAGCCACGGCCGCGATCGCCAGCATCTGCCACAATGAGGGGCGCTGAGGTCTCAGCCTGCGCAGCTGGCTTTGCATCAGGGGCCGAGGGACCAAAGACAGCCGGAAGGGAGAGTCGAGAGCTGCATCAGAGGACGTGTGGTCACCATGTGTGAGGTACGCGTATGCTGGCCGGGACTGGGGACCCCAGGTGGCAGTGCACGTACGTGTGCGCAACGGGGGCGGGAGACCCGAGTCTTCCCGGCTAGCGGGGGGCGGCAATGCAGGGTCTTCCATTCAGGGAGGACGTGGGCCAGAACAAGGTGCAAGCCTTCTAGAACAGGGTGCAGGCCAGAGGGCGCGGGCCGTAACAGGGCGCGGGCCTGGGAGCCCAGTCGGGAGGACACAGGGGTCCGGGTCTGCCGGCTGGCCCCACGCCATGCTGACTTGAAACATTAGAAACATATATTTCTTTGATAAAAGCAAAAGAATTAAAAATACAACTAACCCCCAAAGCAGCAAATCTAGATAATGACCTTCCAGCTATCCGTGTGCTATCCCTGTTGATAAATAGTTAACAACTTCTGGGCGCAGCACCACCCAGGCCCCAAACTCTGCTGTCCCAGCCCTTGCTGGGGTACAGTGCTCACCCAGACCCCTTTCCAGGGAGGAGGGGACTAGCCATGCGTGATGAAGGGGGAGACGGCAAAGAGACTGTGTCAAGGCCAAGAGCAGCGCCGAGGGCTGGACCCCTTCCAAAGCATCTTCTTTACCCAAAGTTAACAATTCAGTTATATTTTAAAAATTATTCTCTTTCTAATTACAAAATGCTGTTCAAATTAACCGATGATTTAATGACACTAATTAGATTGTGTGCTAAAGAAGTCTGTCTGGCAAACATGACCGCCAAGTGTCGCTGACAACATGATAGCTCGTAAAGAGTCTAAATCATCAAAACAAAAAGCCGACGGATGTAACGACAGTTTCAAAGTTTAAACGGCTTTCGCGATCTCCATTTTAAATGGAAAAACGAATGATTAACATGCAGAGAACAGGTAACCTTGAGATTGTGCCTGTGCTATTGAGCACCGGGCCCGAGCCACGTTTCTGGGGCGCCATCATCTCCGCGTCCAGCCCTGAGCTCTCCTGGTGACACCCCAGCTTGAGAGGCTCCCCGATAGCCGGCCGTCCCTGCACGGCCTGACGTGAGGGCTCGGAAGGGGTCTGTCATCCACCCCACAGCGGTGACACAACCCTGAAGCGCCAGGTGAAGACAAGGAGTGAGAGGAGCGAGGCCCGGCCGGGCAGAGGGTCACAGCGCGGGAGCCCGACGTGGCCTTGCCCTGGCCAGCGGGCAGCACAGGCCCCAAGGTCTTGCTGTTTCTTGCTTCTGAGAGCTGCCTCTGAGGAGCTCGCATCTAAAAGGTTTGTTGACTTCTCGATTTCTCTTGCTATTTTTTCTTGTGGAGGCTGTAAATCTCACTGACTCACACATGAGAACATAGAAGATCAGTGTCCTCTCTGATCCCAGCACGGGCAGCCGCCACTGCAAGTTCAGGGCACAGCAGTGCGCGCACACCGTCTGTACACTCCCACCATGCTGACACACGGGGTAGGAGCGTGCCCGCTGAGGGCAGTGAAGGAGAGGGACACGCAACTCGACAGGCAGCTGCCACGTTCTCTCTCTAGCCAGGCGCTGGCTGGACCTGCAAATGCATCACTAGGTCGAGAGGTGTGGGACCAGGGACCGGTGGGGACACCCAGTGTTCTGGCCTCAATATGAAGGGTGGTGACAGGGCCCGGCAGCCACGAGGTCAGAGCGATGCTTCAGGCTCCTGAGGGGAGGTGAGGGTACAGGATCCTGGCGGCAGATTCTCTGGGACACTGCTGTGGGCAGCACCTGTCACATTGGCCAGGGACGACTATGCTGGATGGCAGGGCTAGGGGTCAGTTCTAAACGGCTTTCAGGGGGGACAGAATGCGAGGCTACTGCCTCAGAGACGAAGAAGACAGGCGGCCTGCCGGGGCTCCTGTCCCTCACCATGGGGCCTGCCGGTCAAGGCCACTGTGTGCGGGCGCACGCGGTCATCTGGGTGACACCAACAACCTGCGGCTGCCTCCCAGTCCTGACAAGCACGGCGCACTGCCTGCCACGGCCGGGCCCTCAGCAGGAGGGGGACTGGGCCAGCCTGAGCCTGCCGGCCCCGGGCACGGCACGCACAGCATTGCAACACAGCATGGGCCTGCAGCTGGCAGGTCCCAGCAGCCACGGGAGCACTGCGGGGCGTGTGCGCTCGGAGTCAGGGAAGCGGGGCGCTGCTCCCCTGGACAAGCGCATCTTCTCAAAAGCAAAGGGTCACCGCGGCTGCAGGTGCGCTGCCCTCCATGGAGGCTGGTGGCACCTTTGTCAGCCAAGACCACGGGCCCCTCCGAATGCTGAAGGCAAAGCAACGAGACCTGGACTTGCGGTAGCTCCGCAAAGCGCCCCCTCCCTGGTCCGCCCAATGCCGACCTCAGAAGGCCAGCTGAGGCGGGGTGCAAAGTGGCGGTGACAGCCACAGCCACACCAACTGCCAAGACCCGAGGGCCACCACGGCAACGCCTGGCACAGCCGGTCTCACGGGGCGAGGGCTGAGCTGTGGGCACGTCTTCGGCGGGCATGCGTCCGGGAGCTGCAGGCACGGTGACGAGGCTGCCCGTGCCAGGTGACAGGGCCAGCTCTGGGGGAGTCCGGACAGAGTGACACCACCCCTGGCACAGCGACCTCCCTTCTCAGCAGGATTGTTAAACGAACATGACCGGGCGGGAGCTGCTCCCGCGGGAGGAGGGGCTGCGGGGGCAGGCGGCCGCGGGCACGAGCCGTCCGGGCGCAGGCCAGCGCCTGAGGATGCCGAGGCCGGGCGACTCTCGCCACCGACGGCAGAGGGGCTGCGCTGGTCTCTCCCAGGGGCAGCTCAGAAGCACCGGGTGGGGCGAGGGTGCCCTGCCCGGCCCAGCAGCACCGGCCTCGGGGGCCACGAGCACCTGCAAGGCGGCCGCTCTGCGCACGTCCGGCCTGCGACACGTACGAGACCACGCGCGGACTCAGCTTTACATCGAGTGCACGTGGCAATGTTTTAGAATGTGACGTGAAATCGTATGTTTACAGCGATGGGACCTGTGAGTGGCCGGGCTCCCAGTGGCCAAGGACCCCGGCCTCCTGGTGCTCGGCCCCATCTACACAGCTCCCAGGACGGGCCGCGTTGGGCTGCGTGACCAGGACAATGAGGCAGGAAGAAGGGTGACGTCACCTCCAAAATGACGCCACAGAAGACACCGAGGCTCCCGTCTCCGTCACCCGGAAGCGGTGCTGCAAGAAGACCAGGGGACGTGGACCGGAGCCCAGCCAGCCGTCAGGTGACACGGCAGCCCTGGCTGACAGCCTGACGGCAATCCCGTGACACCCTGAGTCCCAGCCACCAGCCAAGCTGGTCCCGGATGCCCGACCCACAGGAAGCAGGAGATAACACGGTTGTTTTAATCTGCTAAGTTTTGGGGTAATTGTTACACAGCAATAGGTAACTCACAACCTGGGTTCTTTGATTTTTGCTTTGTTTTACGGTGGCTGCTAGAAGACGTAACATCACCTACGTGACTGTACTAGACCTGTACGTTTCCGCTGGGCGGCGTTGCTCTAGATGGTTCTAAACACAGCAAAAGCATAAGACGGTCGCAGACTTACGTAACTTTGCTATCCATCACTCACACACGTTTGTTTCCAATGCATTTGATTTTAAAATCTGGGATCGGGTTAGATATTTGTGGAGATAAAGTACCCACACCCTTCCTCCAAAAAGGATCTATGTTAATTTTTCTTATTCCATTTAAAAGGAAAGAAAACATTAACATCTCTTTCCAGTTACAAAAGGTCAATGGCAAAAACTGAGAAGAGACACACACCCAAGTGCCAGGAAGAAAGTAACGGCCTGCAGGCCCCGCGCCCGGCGCCCACAGGGACCCACGCTGGTGGCTGGCTTCTCCCCCCGGGCACGTCCCGCCTGCGGACACGCCTCACGCTTGCTGATGACCTTAGGGGGTGAGCGTGCGCCCCGCTCTGCGTGCGCGCTTCCACACCGGGGCGCCCACGTGCCGTGTCCCCGTACACGCCGTTCCCGCCACGCCGTGCTGACCCGGGCTCCGAGGGCGCGGCTCACCTTGACGTGCTCGTGGAGCTGGGCCTCGTGCTGCCGGGACAGCTGCTCGTGCTGCCGCTGGAACTCGGCGATGAGGATTTGCCGCTGCAGCTGCTGCTTCTGCTTGAGGGCCAGGAGCTCCTGCTGCAGCTGCTGTTCCCGCAGCGCGGGCTCCGACACGGCCAGCGGGAACTGGTGGTCCAGGCGCAGGTCCATGGGCACCGCCGGGGGCGCCACTTGCAGGGGCAGCGCCGAGGCCACATCCACTGCGGAGAGAGCACAGCACAGCAGGGCCGGTCACTGCGGGCTCCGAGCACCCCCTCCTGCCCCGAGGCCCCGGCCGGCCTCCAGGAGGCCCCGTGAGCTGAAGGTATCTCACGCTTCAGTTCCTGTCCCCCACCCTCCTGCCCGACCGGCTCACGATGCGCAGCTCAGAGGTGTCTGCGGGGCGCCCCCCCTTGGCGGAAGGTCAGACCAGGACACGCACCCACACGCTCTCCCCTGCACCCCGCGCTCCACGGCGGGAGGGGGCCCTGCTCTCTGAGGACCCCGCTGCCTGTCGTGGCAGCGCTTGGGAAAGCCAACGAAGAGGAAAAGGAAGACAAGGCTCGCGAGAGTGAACCCCCGGCAGCAGACCGGCCCGTGCTTCTCCCCCGGTTCACAAAGCCACCGAGGGCTGTTTGCCTGAGCTGCAGGACGGCGTGTGCCACTGAAGTGGTCCAGATAGGCACTCGGGACGAGGGCCGTTGCGATGGTGAAGGCAGCGCCCTCTCAGAAAACATGTTTACCGACTGCAGCTGCCCAAGGCCTGCCCGCCGCCACCCAGCACAGTGTCGGCAGCCGGTGGTGCTTCTGTGCCTCTCCAGGACCCGGCCAGGACCCGGCACGCATCGCCCCGGAGACGCCACCAGAGATTTTGGTTAGAAGAGATTTCAGTTAGAAGTATGAGCCACTAAGTCAACCCCAGTACTTGTGGACCGATACCAAACTAAAGCTCTAAATTCTGGACGTCACGGCACCACGACAGGCCCACGTCCGAGAAGTCGGAAGTACGTGCGGCTGCCCTGGGACCCTGCGCTACGGCCGCACGCCCAGGGACCCTGCGTGGTGCTTCTCAGACACCCAGCAGACGCCCCAGCGGCTCTGCTCAGAAAGTCCAGGCAGAGGCAGGAGGCTGGGACCTCTGGGGGTGGACTCAGAGAGGAGCCCCCGCTCAACAGACGAGGGCCACCAAGGACTAGTTCCTCTCTTCCGGGCCATCTCTGCTGGTCTCCGAGCAAAGGCCATGAGAGGGCACGACTCGTCTGTGTCTGACAGGCCCCGGCCCCTCCATGCCCAGGACCTGACCCCCGGCCGCACACATGGCCCAGCCCCACCGCCTGCGAGTGGGGCTGCCCTCAGGGCAGAGTCTTTCTGTGGTCACTGCCGTGGTGGCTGGTCCCACACCGGCCGTTCTGGGGTTAAGGCGGGGGGTGGTGTGCTGCCCAGGGCGGGCCCGGCTCCAGCAGAGGCCTGACTGCTAAGCCCAGAGCCCAGCGGCTGCCCTGCAGTCCCAACCAGAGTGTCACCACGCCTGCTATGAGGCCCTGGCCGTGCAGCTGAGTCCAGGGGGCCGCCCGGTGGCCCTGAGGTTCCCTCCCACCCCACGGCCACAGTGAGCGAGGCCCCAGGAGCCTGGAGCAGCTCTAACACACGGGAGGGGGGGAGCAGCAGAACTACCCGGGGGGCCCCCGGAAAGCTCCTGACACACGGCCTTTTCTGTAAACACTAACTCTGTCCTTTAAGCACTGATGAGCATGGGTGACACCTGCTGGTTGTTTCTCTTCTGTCCCCCAAACTAGTGACATACAGCCGCCAACTTTTTAAAGATATGTATTTTTGTCCAATGGGGCATTGGGTTTGACATATTAACAGGTTTTAATTGGATGATTACGTGAGAAAAACCTATACAAATGCATGTTTTCATGGACAAGACCAGGGAACAGTGGGTCCCATGCCCCACCACATACAACCTGGTGAGACTGGATTTTACTAAATTCCTTTTTTTGCTTTCTTTGGTCATTTTTATTAAGAAACGTAACAAAGTGAAAAAACTGTGTAAACGTCAGTTTCATAAAACCTCAACATCTTCCCGTTTGCTTCAGACTTCCTCTCGAATCGGATCACGCAGAGGTGGGACAGGGGCTCGGTGAACGAGCTCAGAGAAAAGGTGACGGACGGCACACCTGCAGCTCCACACGGAGCGACGTCTCCGAGGGAATTCAGTCCTCGCTTTTCCTTCTGGGGTGTGGCGTGGGTTGGAGTGGGGGTACGGGTTGGAATGGGGTGGGGTGCGGTGCAGGTGCAGTTTCAGGGTGCAGGTTGCAGGTAGGGTGGGGTACAGGTGCAGTTTGGGGGTGCGGGTGGGGTAGGTGCGGGTGTGGTACAGGTGAAATTTGGAAGTAGGGGTCGGGGTTGGAGTGGCGGTATAGGTGCGGGTGGGTGGAGGTGCAGTTTCGGGGTGTGGGTGGGGTGAGGTGCGGGTGGGGTG